TCGTGTCTCTCTTTGCCTGATTTTATCATGTTGCTACTATATAAGACCCCTGTGGGTCCCTTGGGGCTGCTGTCTGGGCTTATGTACAGGATAAAGTTGCTGTCATTGGTATTTTTGTTACCCCCAATGTATAATAGTTCCAATTAAAAAAAATTCATCCGTGTTTCTCTTCACATGATTAAATGTATTTGTATGCCATGCAATAGCAGCTGTAGAAAATAATATTGATAAAAATTTAATTTCTTATCATTGCCATAAGTAGATAAACTGAGTTGCTTATTCCTCCAGAAGAGCAAGAAACATGAATACATACTAATGCATAAACCAAAAATGAATATAACATACTGTAGTTGTATTTAAACGATGTGGAGGGTATTCAGCTATGAAAAATATACAGAATATGCAATAAGTAAAACACAGGATACTATTTGCCACACAAATGTACCTGCAGCCTCATGTTATGAACATAGGCCTACTACTCGTACAATTTTAATTATTCTTGCAAAGTTCAGCCTGGAGCATTAATAAGTTATTGATCACGCTTTAGAAGTTATATATTATCACTTGAATTGTAAAAAAAATAATAATAAGTTAAGTGCTGTGTTTGCTTCTGGTAGGCCTTATACCGATTACACATTAATTTTAGTCAACCTTTGGTATATTCATGCAGACAGACCATGCACGTATACTTCCATGGAGAGATCTATTGTACCCTGGTAATAATTAAATAACAGAGTACTAACATTAGGGTGATCCAGTTAGTGAGTGAATAGGGGCACAATGCCGCTGAATCATTTTTGAAATTAACTTGCCAGTTTTTAAGTAACATAAAAATTATCAACTTGAACATATAAACATTAGGTGGTAGTTCTGGTGGTACTGGCTCAGCGTTTTCCGTCAAAGAAGGATGTCTCGGACCCACATTTTATGGGCTGTTTTCTTTTCCCTTTAGTTTGCTGTTTCTTAGGCATCAAATCCATCAACATAACGGCTTTCAGCTTTCTGAGAAACGGCGCCATGATAAATCAGCATAAACAATTTTCAACTTTAACGATTCAGCGTTTTACATGGTCAGCTTTGGCGGACCGACACGATTTTTAATAAAATCGTTATTCATTCAACTTCAACGATCATCGTTAAAAATTGACGATAGACGTTGTAAACGTCGATTAACGTCGACAGGAAAAGAGGCTTTAGTGTATTTAAAAAAGGTTTACCCGTCATTTTACAAAGAAAAATGATAGAAACACTTCCAGTCAATGGAAGCGTTTCATTATTTTTATTATAATTATCCAGTTTAAAAATAAGGGTACACATTTTTGAAATTCAATAATTTCTTTGCTTAAGTTAAAAATATGTATGCTACGTCTGCAAAAATGAACAAGTTAATTTCAAAACTAGAAATTGCAAATTGCAAGTGAAGTGCTGCGAAGTACAACTGCATATAAATGTTCTTCGAACAAAATTATTTATGCGAGTCAAGTAAAAATAATGAATAATAAAACTATAACAAATAATATGAGACACGACCCATTGTCTATATTAGAACACTTCTCATTGGGTAACAAAGTCGTAATTTTTCATTTTTGTCAAAAAGTGTCTATAGTGTGGTGAATTATGGTTTAGGTTTTTTTTAATAAAGTTTCCAAAATGTCTATGTATGTGAAAAATGTAGTTGATTACCATAGGTTACAACTTTTATTTTGAAGACTGCATGGTCTAGGAAGTGTACATTTTTTTATGGGGCAAGTTTCCAAGGGCGGGTTTTCTAGAAGCGAGTTGACTGCCAAAGAGTGTTGCCAAAGCGCGAGCCAGCGTGTTATTTGATCACAAGTGCGAGACATATCACAAGTGTGAGCCAGCGAGACATGACGTCACGACAATAGATAGAGACGTTAACCAGTTGTGCGAGGTATCGGCTGAGATTTGTGGAGTACAATTCAAAAAACAACTATAGGTCTAATAATGAATTATTGTGATGTTAAATAGACAATGTTAGCTATCAAAGAGCGACGTTGTTTTTCATTGGGACCTTCGTCCCTTCAAGGTTAGGCCTATACCATCCTAGCTAGTCTAGGCCTAGAGTAGGATAAGCTAGCGCGACATGCGGACGTTGGTACGAGTAGGTTAGTCTACAAACGTCGCCTAAAGTAATTGATTTTACCCGGCAGAACGAAAGAAGGAAACTCCGCTTTTCAGTCGTCTTTGGCAGTCGTTTTTTTTTGACAAACAATGACCTTTCAGAGGTCAAATTGCTGTCAAGAATATGAATTGGCTGCTTCGCAGCAATTATTTTTATGATTTTTTGTCATTTTCAAGAGACAATACATCTTTAAACCTTGTTTATTTTGATGCCCAGAAAAAATGTGAATTAATGATGATCATAATTATGATGAGGGGATGATGATAACAATGACGGTTATGATGAAGGTGATAATGACTACGATGACAATAATGATGACGATGATGATGTCGATGGCGATGACGTCGACGATGATGATGAACGGTAATGATGTTCATGTAGGTGTTGGCATGTTTGAGAGTGATGGAGAAACTAATGCAGACTAAAGTGAAGTGAGTTCAATCTGGAATCAAACCGAAAAATGCCCCGGTCAGGGTGCAGCAGGGATAAAATCCCCTGGAAAATTCAGCAGTTTTGATTTGGTAGAGTCTAATTTAGGTCGCGATGTTATTTTTAGTCTTATAATAGGCCATCGTAGCATGATTGAAATAGTCAATGCGATGCGTACATTCATATAATTCATAATTATCATTATATATTTATTTCAGAAAGTAATGGAATCGAGAAAAAGTGGTCCGGCCATAGCCGGTGCGCTTCCGACGGCCCTGAATTGTAGGAAATTCGTATTATATTTGAGTCAGTCAATCGATATTTTCCTTGGATTTGTGACTTCCTCTGCCAGATACAGCAATGTGTCAAATATAATAAGAACCCGTAACTTTGTTATGCGGTGTCCTTGGGGCAAATTTGTTTATTTAAAATGATAAATTATGCTTGTGTTAATTATTTCTGTAATTTAAAGCCTGGCACTCACTGCGTCGTACGATGGCCACGACCGTCATCTGACGAATCCAACCCCACTCTCTGGGAGCGCTAGACGACGCGACACCATCCAGTCTGCTGATTGTTGGTGGCAGTCTGAACGGATCGTCATTAAACACGATTCGTCGTTGCACGTGCGTCGTGGCGTTGCGTCCATAAAATCGAGCCGACCGACGCCTGTTGGGCGTAGTGCGTGCCCGGCATAAAATACATTGACGATCGTTCTATCTGCGAGAATCACAAAGTCAATGAACCAGGTAACATTCAACCTGAACTTGATCAGTTCTTTCGTTAGGGGTCCTTCACAATTATCAACATTTGTACAAAGAGTACACTTTTTCATGACCCCCCCCCCACCCCCGAAAGTGTACAAGAAAAATGTTGATTTTTTTTTTGCATCTAATAATACAGAATTCGGAACAGCCAGTTCAATAAGTAAATTCAATACAAGACACATTAAATTGTACTATGTGTAAAACAATACATTTATTTATCTCTACAGTGGCTCTCATGGTAGCGGCTTATTTTAGCCTTAATGAGAGTCTCCCGACCATCAATATGTTATAATTTAATTACAGTATACAAATATATATATTTGTTTGTTATAATTTTTGGACAAATAAAACAATCTGAGTTCTGAGTTAAGTTCAGAGTTAATGTTGACTATTCCGTGTGAAGAAGTGTACATCGCCACTACTAATAGCCAAAGCTGTAGCAGGAGCACCTTATGGTTCATCAACTTCCATGTGAATAGAAGTGAAGCAGCAACAGTTTCAGTACTCTTGGCAGTTTCAGGTGTAGCATATAGCCTAGTAAAGAAAAAATATAGAGAACAATAAACAGGACATTTAATCGAAATAAATAAGGTACTGTACTTTCAGGTTCAGTAATATTAAAATAATGTCAGTATTAAAATCTGGGAAAAAATGCACACACAAAGCTAGGCCTGTCAAGTGAATGGGTGGAATTTAAAAAGATGGAAGTATTGTAAAACAAGGAATCATAAAGAAAATAACATTTAGCAAAAAACAAATAAGTTTTCTGGAAAACCTTCAATGAATGACAATGAGAGCATTTAATTGAATACGTGAAGGCCTAGCCTCTATTTCTAGGCATAGCATAGCTATTAACTAGGAGCAGTTGGCCTAGTACTAGGCCTAACCCTATTTAGGCCTAGGACTAGTAGTACGTTAGTTAGTTAGTTAGTAAAGTAGGCTAACCTATAGAATAGCATTTTTGGCCAGGCTACATTTAAAAAAAATGTCACACAGTCGATAGAGCCCCCAACATTTGCTTTTTATAAGACTAGCTAGGCTAGGCCTAGCCTGGGTCGTTTGCAGCGGACTTGCGGCCTCGTAAACCCTGCTCGTATTGGCCGAAAACGAAACAGCGAACTATTCTATAGGTAGGTTCAGTGGCGTATCC